AAGAAGACATACAATAGCTTCTATTCATATAATTTATTTACCCTCTTTAAAGCAATGTGTTCAGCGATTGCTGTTTTATAAAATACACATTTACTACAACCAGTTCATAATTGAATTTCCGGCACTGGAACTTCATCAGTTTAAAACAGCTAACCACCGAAATCTGTTAGAAGTTTGCACGAAAAGGCACATATTCGTAATATTACCGCTATGACAATTGAGCGGTCTTTTGTAATTACTTATTTTGTTAACTTCAGAACTTTTTATGTATGCGAGTATTTGATTATAATTGTCATTATTGTTATTATTATTATTATTATCATTATCATGATTATCATTAGATAATGATGATGTTGATCTTTCACATAATCTGTAAGATGTAAGCCTCTTACTCGACTTACCGGAATCGGCGGGGAATTACCAATATCGGCGGGGAATTACCAGAATCTCAATCGACGTGTAGTTTTCCTTATTAATGAGCTATTAAAGAATATTCTTGCGTTTTTATAAGATATAAACACTATCAATGATATGTCAAAAGACTTTTATAAATAAAATCGCTTTGGATTAAACAATAGATCTAAGATCTGAGAGTTACTGCCATACTGCCGGATTCGTCGAGGGATGACCGTAATCGGCCTGTTATTTGATTATTAAAGCACGTTTTATGTTTCTTTTTCATGTTTTTATGAAACTTAAAGATTATGATTGATCTCCAAAGGAATTGTGAAATCGCTTTTAAATAAAAGTGAAAAAAATATTCAAAATCGGCGAAAACGGGGTAAACTGCCGGACTCGGCGATTGATTACCCGATCGGCCTGTAATTTGCTTATCTATGAGCTTTTTATCAATTTTCTTACATCTATAATTAAATATAACAATATCAATGATATGTAAAAATATCTTTATAAATAAAATCACGTGAGATTAATAAAACAAGAGATTTAATATCGGCAAGTTATTGTCATAATGTCGGAATCGACAAAGGATTACCGGAATCGGCCTATAAATTGGTCTTTTGAACTTTTTAACGTTTCTTTTGCATTTTCTTTTAAAAATAAACAGTATCTATGATATTCAAATAAGAATTTTTACAATTTGCTATTGATTAATAAAACAAGAGATCTAAAATCGGCGAGTTACAGTCATACTGCCGAAATAGTCGAATGATTAGCCTCCCTTGAATTCCCGCCAAAATGTCATAAATTAAAAAGGGAGACCACCTTGCTTGTAACACCACGTGCGTGTTAGATTTGATATGGATTTATTAGTGTTCATGTACTCGGTATATAGATTTTGCCATGTCTTTAATATTCCACAGTATGTAATACATCTACGAAACAAATGATTTTGTATCTTCCAAAACTTAATTCTTGAATACTGGATATTTCCATGTTTCATGTAATATTTGTCGGCGATCTCTGTGGAGAACTTACTTTTCATATTTTAAGATGACTTTAAAAAACGTAATTAAATAAATAAAATGAAATGAATAAAAAGTAATAAAATGGAAAAAGAAGAAGAAAACATAAAAAAATGGACACAAAAATGTCGGCATTGTTATGTCGAAGTTCTTTCCGTATCTTTCAAACACAGATCATAATTTTTATACGAATGACGCAGAGGTTAAATGTTTATAATTATTCTGTTAAAAAAACTAAATTACAAAAAGAACATGTTTCACGATTAAGTACAAGATGTTTTCTCCTGTTACAGATTTTTTCTTTTGCAAGGTATATTATTCGCGGATAATTTAAACTACCGTGGTCATTAATTCTATCAAATTGTTTTCAGATAAAAATAAAAAAATATTTTCAACATGCTTAGAATACTGTTTTAATTGACTTGTTCCGGATTATTTACACTAATATTTATGTTTCCTGATAATGGATAATACCACATATTTCATTGCCAGATTTTGAATATTCAGATTACAAATATAACAACACAAAGCACAAACTAGGTTTCTTTTTTCTTTTATGATGTAAAGAATATACATGTACACATTATACCAAAAAAAAATTCCTAGTTTTTTCAATGACATATACCGTTGGTGTAACAGTACTGTAATATACTGTAATTTGTATAGCAGTACAAAATGCTCCCGATGTTTCAATTACAACCAGTCTCTTATTTTCAGTTTGGATTTAACACAATTTATGACTCATTACATATAAATACAATTGCCGTGAAAAGCTTTTCCAGCTATTTGGATATCATACATTTGCACTATATCATATTTAATGTAATTCAAAATATCACCGGTGAGAACAAAGTTGAAAGTCATAATTATTTATAAGTAATTATGCAAAAACTATTCCGAATACAATTAACTAACAAACTACGGTACAGCATCAACTTTTGTATATGTATAATGTGTGTGGCGTGGCCGGAGCCAACAATGTCTTATGTATAACATTAACTGTATACTTATATACCACCAAATGAGAAAATCACCGTCATTTTTACGTTCGAATGTGTAGGCAATGGTCTATAAATGAGAGTGTAAGTAAACCGTTGATGAGTCAGTCGGTTAATTCCGTTATAAACACTGAAGAAAAACATGATGCACAAATATTATATATATAATGTTCATTTCACACATTTGTAAATAAATGCATACTATCAACTGAATGATAAATTAATTGCAGTCTTCAGAAGATGACGGTCAGGAATAAAAGAGCTTGCATTTTTAGTTTTCACTGTCAATTTATCACTGCACATTTAATCAAAAGAAGGGTGCTTTATTCTTCACCTATCTTATTATATGCGTCTTTCACATATTTGTTCCAATCTTTAGGCCATTGATTTTCATTAAATCGACCAATAGCAAGATACCAAATTACACTAGCAACATGTGAACACGACCCAACTACACGTGTTCCAGTTTTGCATCTGCAGTACCACGATGTCACCTTCTGAGCCGAATACTTAATCCAGCATTTGTACTTAACAGAGGAGGTGTGTCGACTCTGGAGTTTTGCTTGTAATATACCTGGAATATCGACAGATATATGAATAGTGTATGCGTCATCTTCTAAATGTTCTGCCGTGTAACTCTTGGCCATTTTCAGTGTATACACCCCTAATGTAATTTCTCGGAGGTCTTCTTCCGTCAAACAAGGAAAGTCCTTTAAGCTGTTTGAATCAACAAGTTTCCATTTTGTTTTTACACTTTCTTTAGACACAATTTTTTCTACCTCATATTGTAGCTCATTATTTTTTTGAGCCAATTCAAACATTTTTGTACCGAGCTCAAAATCTGCCAGACGATCAGAAGCATTTGATAAAGGTGGTTTATATTTATTACAAATTGCGCACATAATTTTGATATATTGTTCAATGTTAGGCAAATGGCTGTTTGGAAGAGTTTTGTCAAAGAATCGCCATTGTTTTAACCTGGCATTTGCTGACTCAACTATCCAGCGAATTTTAGTGACAAGTCTAGAGTTATTTGCATCTTCTGCAGAAAGCTGTTTTTCACCCTTCGGTAAGAAAGATGGCATCTTTGCGTCAATACCTAGTTCTTTAAGGATGTTTAATGAATCGCGGAAACCACGATCAACAACGAAAATATCACCTTTTCTGATCCAATTTTTTATCTCTTCAATATTACATTTCATCATATGATTTAATATTTTTGCGTCGGAATTCTTTCCATCAGCTAAATAAGGGCCAAGAACAGATACTATATATCCTGTTGTAGTAACAACCATCATTGGTTTGACGAGTGACCTCCCTTTATGAACACTGTATGTACGTCTTTGAAATTTGAAATTGGAGCTTTTATGGATATATAGGTATGTGCCATCAAGTACAAGGATAGCAGGAGGACTGCATTCATTTTGGCCAAATATTGATACCGCAAGAGGCCGTGTATGTTTCTGGACGACATCTTCTCGATTGACGTGATTGAAACCAATATTTTCAATAACAAATTCTTTCGACAATTGTTTTCTTATTGAAGCAAATGAGCGCCTAACTTGAGATTTTGTCATGTTGAAAATGGTGCCAAGGATACGATTAGAAAGGCCTGTTCTAAGCTTTGTTAGAAATACTCCTAAAGAACCACGAATACTTCTGTTTTGTGACTTTTTACTGTTTTTTACATAAGTAAGAAGATCGTCAAATTGTGCCCTATTCAACCCAGTGAGACTTTCATAGTCGTTATCATTCATACCGTTATCGTCAAAATCAACCCGTTTATTTCTGTTGTCCTTAGCAGCCTTTCTAATATTTTCTATAAGGGTATGTACTTCCTCGCATGTAAAATGGGAAACATTGCGTATATTTTTATTGTTTTTCAGTAACATAAACGCTTCCTTGCAAAATGAATTTTCTGTTAAATGTTTTGGGCAGCATCTAGCCCCTTTTGACAGGATAATGTTTAGCTCTATAAAAATATCGTGTCTGGCTTCCTTTTTAATACGCACCAACTTTGGACCGGGCTTGCCGCAAATAAAACAACGAGAATGGGACTGCCCTGTTGTAGATATTGGTAGAGCAATTGTTTCTTCATCGGTTTGAATTAATTTTCTTTTAGCAGATAATGTTGTTTCGTTCGACTTTAAATTCAACGCTTTATTTGATTGTTTTGTGTCATTCTGCTTTCGCATTTCAAGATAATATTTTTGTCTACATTTATTGCACGCTACTGAATTATCACTGACTGTTAAGAAAAATGATTTTTCAAGGTATCGTTTCAGATCTTTATTTCCAACTATTGGTCTTCTTTCTTTTTGTGTCACACGCTTATTGCACACAATACAGTGCATATAATACGGGTTCATTTTTACTTTTTTGATTTCGGATTCTTTTAACCATTTAACCTAGAAACAAAAATAAAATACATATGCTTTAACTATCTAATTTACCATAATCAACTAAATTGATTTAGTTGGAATTAAAACATTAAATCTATAGCTATAGTCTGATTTTATTGACCTGTCAATTATGAATACATTATATAGCGCTAATTTGAATATTCGATTCCAATTCGGTGATAATTAGTAGGCAGGATATAACTAATGTTTGGAAAATTCACACTAGTGTAATGTATATGGTTTCATCACATCCGCAGTTAAGTGATTACCTCAGAGAGGTCAATGGTTCAATCCTTACTTTTGTCACTGTTTTTCTTAGACCTTTTAATTTTTTATTTTTGAAGTATATTTTAATGAAAATGGCCAAGTGCTTGCAAAATTGTCTACCTGGATATAAAACAACTTAGCAACACTGAGTTGTCTCGTTTTGTATTGTATTTTACGGCACTGAAATGACATTTATTGATTTTAATCCGAATGGCTTTTAATTATTAATTCTTAAACTAAGTTATTTAAAAAGAGTATAGCTTTACCAAAATAAGTGCAAAACATATTAAAAACAAAAAAAGACAACATGAAACATCATAGCTTCAATAATGTTAAAAATAGTTATAAATAAGAAAAAATGGAGATACGCGGTCTCGATCTTAAAACACTAGGACATTAGAAATTATAAAACTGCAGTTTACCCTATTGCGCTATAACGGTCAGTGTAATTATTTCGATGAGAATTTCAATTTAATCACATCTTACTACTCACATCTCACGAAATTTACCGAACATTTAACGAAGATTAATATATTGTGTGCATTTACCGTATAATCAGTATGCAATTGACAGGTTAATAAAATCAAACAATAAAATGTGTTTACAGTACAGTAGAATATTAAAAGTATGTATTTAAAATACACTTTTAAAATAATGCACACTAAAGAGAAATATTCTAGTCTGTTAAAATGTACGGTGATATTTATCGCAACACTAATAGAACAGGAGCCTCTCCTACTATCAATATATACTCGATTACGCCCCTTAACTACCCGGCGCCATTTGCCATTATGTAAACAGCTGACAGACGGAGTGTAAACTTTGGATAATTAAAAGAAGTGCGCAAGCAGTAACCACAAAATAGTAGGTTTATAGCTATTATTTTATTGTAATATAAAATGTAAAAACCTAAGCGGTTAAAAAATGCGTTTACCTTATATTTGTAGAATTGCACCAAAATTTACCCATTTTCGCGAATTTTGCCCGAAGTAGAAGGTGATTGACGTCATTTGTGACGTCATCGACGTTGCCGCGATACAAAAGAACGTTAGTTTTTAATTGCATATATGTTGCTTGGTAAATTGACATTAAATAATTTATTTATATTCAATATTTAATTTTCTCAAAATTTTGGGCCAAAAACGATCCAAAACGTACCTAGCCCTTTCCAGAATATTTGCATCAAAACTGCAGCCACCAGAGTGTTAACAAGTTTTTTTCTATTTTTAGCTCCTGTGACCTAGTTTTTGACCAGAGATGATCGATCTTCGAACTTCACCTAGAAATCATCAAAACAACCTTCCTGACAAATGTCCAGAATATTTGAATCAAAACTGCAGCCACTAGAGTGTTAACAAGCTTTTTTCTATTTTTAGCTCCTGTGACCTAGTTTTTGACCGTAGATAACCCATCTTCGAACTTGACCTAGAAATCATCAAAACAACCTTCCTAACAAATTTCCAGAATATTTGGATCAAAACTGCAGCAACTAGAGTGTTAACAAACTTTTTCTATTTTTAGCTCCTGTGACCTAGTTTTTGACCGGAGATGACCAATCTTTGAACTTGACCTAGAAATCATCAAAACAACATTCCTGACAAATTTGCAGAATATCTTGATCAAAACTAAAGTCACTAGAGTGTTAAAAAGCTTATTTGTATTTTTAGCTCCTGTGACCTAGTTTTTGACCGGAGATGACCCATCTTTGAACTTGACCTAGAAATCATTCAAACAACTTCTTGACAAATTTCCAAAATATTTGGATCAAAACTGCACCCACTAGAGTGTTAACAAGGTTTTTCTATTTTAAGCTCCTGTGACCTAGTTTTTGACCGAAGATAACACATCTTCTAACTTGACCTAGAAATTATCAAAACAACCTTCCTGACAAATTTCCAGAATATTTGGATGAAAACTGCAGCTTCTAGAGTGTTAACAAACTTTTTCTATTATTAGCTCCTGTGACCTAGCTTTTGACCAGAGATGACCCATCTTCGAACTTGACCTAGAAATCATCAAAACAACCTATCTGACAAATTTCTAGAATATTTGGATCAAAACTGCAGCCAGTAGAGTGTTAACAAACTTTTTCTATTTTTAGCTCCTGTGACCTAGTTTTTGACCGGAGATGACCCATCTTCGAAATTGACCTAGAAATCATCAAAACAACCTTTCTGACAAATTTCTAGGATATTTGGATCAAATTTGCGGCCAGTAGAGTGTTAAAAAGCTTTTTTTATTTTAAGCTCATGTGACCTAGTTTTTGACCGGAGATGACCCATCTTCGAAATTGACCTAGAAATTATCAAAACAACCTTTTTGACAAATTTCCAGGATATTTGGATCAAAACTGCAGCCACTAGAGTTTTAAAAAGATTTTTCTGTTTTAAGCTTCTGAGACCTAGTTTTTGACCGGAGATGACCCATCTTCGAACTTGACCTAGAAATCATCATAACTACCTACCTGGCAAATTTCAAGAACATTTGGATCAAAACTGCAGCCACTAGAGTGTTAACAAGCTTTTTCTATTTTTAGCTCCTGTGCCTAGTTTTTGTCTGGAGATGACCCATCTTTGAATTAGACCTAGAAATCATCGAAACAACCTTCTTGACAAATTTCCAGAATATTTGCATCAAAACTGCAGCCACTAGAGTGTTAACAGGTTTTTTTCTATTTTTAGCTTCTATGACCTAGTTTTTGACCGGAGATGACCCATCTTCGAACTTGACCTAGAAATCATTAAAGCAACCTTCCTAACAAAGTTCCAGAATATTTGGATCAAAACTGCAGCCACTAGAGTGTTAACAAACTTTTTCTATTTTTAGCTCCTTTGACCTTGTTTTTGACTGGAGATGACCCATCTTTGAACTTGACCTAGAAATCATCAAAACAACCTTCCTGACAAATTTCAAGAATATCTTGATCACAACTGAAGTCACTAGAGTGTTAACAATCTTTTTTGTATTTTTAGCTCATGTGACCTAGTTTTTACCGGAAATGACCCATCTTTGAAGTTGACCTAGAAATCATTCAAACAACCTTCCTGACAAATTTCCAGAATATTTGGATCAAAACTGCAGCCACTAGAGTGTTAACACGGTTTTTCTATTTTTAGCTCCTGTGACCTAGTTTTTTACCGAAGATGACCCATCTTTGAACTTGACCTAGAAATTATCAAAAACAACCTTCCTCACAAATTTCCAGAATATTTGGATGAAAACTGCAGCTACTAGAGTGTAAACAAACTTATTCTATTTTTAGCTCCTGTGGCCTAGCTTTTGACCGGAGATGACCCATCTTCGAACTTTACCTAGAAATTATCAAAACAACTTTCCTGACAAATTTCTAGAATATTTGGATCAAAACTGCAGCCACTAGAGTGTTAACAATGTTTTTCTATTTTTAGCTCCTGTGACTTAGTTTCTGACCAGAGATAAGCCATCTTCGAAGTTGACCTAGAAACCATCAAAACAGCCTTCTTGACAAATTTCCAGAATATTTGGATGAAAACGGCAGCTACTAGAGTGTTAACAAGCTTTTTCTATTTTTAGCTCCTGTGACCTAGTTTTTGACCGGAGATGACCCATCTTTAAACTTGGCCTAGAAATCATCAAAACAACCTTTCTGACAAATTTCCAGAATATTTGGATCAAAACTGCAGCTAGTAGAGTGTTAACAAGCTTTTTCTATTTATACTCCTATGACCTAGTTTTGACTCGAGATAACCCATCTTCGAACTCGATCTGTATTTTATTGAGACAAACATTCTGACAAAGTGTAACAATGATCCAATCAAAACTGGGACTGCTAGACTGTTAACAACCCAATTGTTGACGACGCACTAGGCACTACGCACGACGACGACCGCCGGACATAGCCCCATCACTATACCTCACCTTGACCACTACGTGGTCAGGTGAGCTAAAAATGCATGTGCTCTAAACGCGTAAACAATGGGCGGAACGAAATAAAATGAATTTTTTAAAGGGAATCAGAGGTTAAAGAAATAGAGAAACACAGAATCCCTAAAGAAAGCCCAACACGGCAACATTTTTAAATGTTGCAGGTTCGGTTTGATTGAGCCTGTTCATAGAAAGTGCAAGGTATTGTTCACGCCAACTAGCACCGGTTTAAGCAGAATTCAACATTAAATTTTAATCACAAAAATGATGAAAATTTGAAGTTAGAAACATCTGCAGATGTGTTCATCTGAACTTCAAGAGTGTTGCTCCAAAAACAAGACAGTATTTCTAAGTTTAAAATTTAGGTAAAATACATAGTATCTAAACATTTTTTAAGAAAAACATAATGACATATTTCAAGCACATTATCAAAGTTCTAGTCCTTAGGTTTTTCAAAGACTTCTGTTTCTAAATGTTTGACTTATAAACATAAGGTAACCAATTTTGACCACAGAATCATAATGTGAATGAGGGACTCCACTGAGGTTTAAAAGCCTAAAAACATAACATTTAAATTTCTTACATAAATGCGCAGGGACACTTTAAACAGAAATATATGCAAAGATAGTTAAGAAATATACTTTGATGAAATAAATTGAAAATCGTATTTTTATGCTTTTCTTAGCCCGATTTGAGTGAAACTTGTTTAAACGTTTTCCTTTTTTGGTCATTTGTTTACCATTTGAATAATTATTCTGGAAAAACGAAGTGCGCGAATGCTCTAACATTTTCGCACAAAAATTAGTGGTCTAAACCTACATTAAATGGTATATTTATATGGAAAAAATTATTCGGGCCATTCCATTAAATGCGGCGTATGGTCCATAGTCAAAAGAAAGCGTTCCCAAGACATTTCAAATTATGGACATTGAGTGATTAATGACCCTGTCCGGTGGTAATGGTTTCCGTTTAGTGTATACACGCCCGGCAAACTGTCGCTCCACTTCAAAATTCTGGTGTCCGGTTCAACAAGCGAACGGCATTTCCGAGAAAGAGCAGAAGTCCGATTTTACGGCTTGTTGTATGTTTTGTTTATACTTTCGTTTTGTAATTCATTTAATTGTATTTTTTTAAAAAAACCGATCAATGTTTCGTCAAGGATTGTTTGAGGCTTTCAATGATCAAAGCTGTTACAAAACGAAAATTATATTAAGCCGAGGAGAACTTTTCCCCCTCTCGAAATGAGACGATTTGTTAAATATCAAACCTTCAACCATTGAAACGCTCTACACTTCGGATTTCTTGAAAAGGTGTTTTAGAAAAGTATCAACCCGTAACAAGAGCTAGTCTTTCGTGCAAAATAAACTTCTTTGATGGATTTTTTCAATTTGTACATAGATTTTTTTTCGAAAGTAGTGGAGCCAAAGGGAAAAAGATGGAGCGAAAAGTCGGTTTTTGGGCGAATAACGATATTAAGTTTGGTGCTAAGAGCGTAGTCTACGAATTTCTATAAATAAAATATTTCAAAGTTAAAACATGTACTAAAAGGTGAAGCCGGAGAAATATGATAATATATTAATCAATTTCTTCTATAACTAGGTCTATCAATTATTGATAATCGTACACCGACTGAGCACTGCTTTTTACTACGTTCTGTTTGTTCAATAAACAAACAACATTTTACAGATATTTTTTGTAACTTATTTATTTTTCTTAAACCAAGATTTGTACTGACCATATGCAGTGTTTGATTATAAAAGTAAACAGTTTTGTTTACACTTTGAGAGGAAAATAATAACCTAAACAGAGAAAGTATTTAACACGTGTTATATCCTTAGACCGACTGACACTGTGTCAAGTATTTCATAGAGATTCACCACCTTCCAAAAGTTTTTCAATTTCATGAAACGTGGCTTATTTTTGTTTGACCTGAACATGCACGTTAGAGCTTTTA